GTAACCTTACATACAAGTAAGCATACAGTACATTACTGTAATTTATTGCCATTCTTCTCATACTCTTCTTGCTAGTTCAGGACAGTGCTTATACACATGTTTTGCTGGCAGGTGTACAACAGTTTTTGATGCATGCTGGTTCTATGGTAATACAGAGTAAATGGTTTCCATTGAAATTCCCATTAGCACTCATCACCAGATTAGTAAAAATAGGAATTTTTTTTGTACTCACTGTAAAATCCTTTTCTTTGCATTCATTGTAGAACACAGGAAAGAGATGAATCTTGTACCGATGTGTTCTATATCACCATATGGATCGGTAGGATACTAGGCAGAAAAAAAACCAAGGCGCCACCCCTGCTAATGGTCAAAACACACATTCGCAGATGTAGCCACATCAACTTTGTAAACACGAATAAAGGCCTGAGGCAAAGGCCTGAGGACGAATAAAACCCCACACGGAACTAAGATCCACAGCAGGGTCCCTATTTCTCGATGCTAGGCAAAAAACTGGAGGCAACCCCCTGTGGGGGTTTTATTTACATTTCTCTGTTTTTGCTTTCTTTTTTTCGTCATCAGGCCTCTGCCGTACAAGTTTGTAAGGCAGCCACTTGGTCGTCGGTGCACACCTTTACTAATTTTTACAAAGTTGCTGTGGCTACATCTGCGCATGTGCGTTTTGACCATCAGCAGGGGCGGCGCCTTGTTTTTTTTCTGCCTAGCATCCTACTGCTACATGTGGTGATATAGAACACATTGGAGCAAGATACATTTCTCTCCTGTATCCTTCAATGAACGGAAGAGAAATGTGGTATAAAAGTTTTTTTTTTGTTTTTTTCTACTGTTAATGTAAGTTCATATATTCAGGGTATATGTAGGCAGCCTTAACCAAATCTATAGGGTGTGAGTAGGGTAAAAATGAAGTCCATGCAAAGCAGTTATTTTCCAAGGATCTCACTGTTTAAATAATGCAAAAGAGAAGGAGGTGCTCTATAGTACAGCAGGAAAGAACCCAGGTTTTGGTACTTAAGTGCGCAGAGGCAGCATTGTAGGCTAAATACAGAAGCTAGTAAACATACCAAATATGTGGCAGGATCTACAGGTATTTGCAGTGTTTTTCGAAAATATTTCAAAATTTATAGGTTTTTTTTTTTTTTGCCCAGAGATACGACTGGCGGAAAGGGTGTGGGATAAACAAAGAATTAAGTTACCACTTTTAAAAAATAGTAACGTATTCTTTTGTTTGAGCCAAGTTCTACCTTAACTTCATTCTCGAAAAGTTTATAAGATGTTGTTCTACCTACATCCTGTAGTACATTTGAATAGGGGCCATTTAGTAATAGCATGTGAGTGAGCGTTTGTATTGAATTTGCCTCAAAACTGCTTGTAAAAATAGAATGAATGTGTGCAAACTAAGATCTAAAACAAGCTACTCGATTATTTATTCTGATTAGGATTCAATTACTGGCTTCAAACATTTTTGTCCGGCACTCTTAAAGAGCTCTGTATGAACTCTAGCCCGTGTTGTACAAACTCCATCCACCATAAAGGAGGGGAAAAAAAAAAAAAATACAGTAAACTCCCCCTTATCTGGCATCCACGGGGATTGGTAGGATCCGGATAAATGTAGTTTCTGGTTGCTTGAGAGGTATTAAAATAGGTCTAACTAATGCCTTACCCCATACAATAACAAACTCTGTATTGACTTCATATTAGTATTGAAACGCAGTAATCAAAAGCAAATAGACACACTTAAAACAAATGAAGACAAATAGGCACATGATCATTTCCAGGATAATACAAGCCAAAGAACAGTGAATACAAAAGGGGATATTTTTTTTTCTGGTTAGATGAATACTGGATAACAGTTTACTGTACTTGGAACGTACAACGAACTTGGTACTTGGAACGAACGAACTTGGAAATATATAATAAAACACATAATAATATCTATCCATGAAAATAAATTGTCTCTGTTGACTTGTATATCCTGCCATGAAAACCATATGAAATATTCTGCAGAAACGTTATGTAAACTTCTCTTCAAATATAAAAAAAATTCCAGTTTATTTTGTGTGCTTATTTCATAGGAGACTGCTGGCTCACCCATAAAAGGACAAAATGCATTTGGCAACTACATACAGAAACATTCACAAAGAAAAATCCATACAACTGTTTCTCCGTTTTTTAAGTTGGTCAAGATGTGCAAAATGCACTTGTTGAATAGTCATTTGAAATATTTACAAGGTTATTCACAACAGGGCGAAGAGTTTGGAGAAGTGGACAATCTAGGACAACACAGCTGAACCGGAGAGTGAGCTGAATTGGCTAATTTTTCCAAATCAACTATGTTGTCCTAGATTGTTCACTTCTCCTGCCTTCTCCAAACCCTTCTCACTTTTGTGAATAGACTTGTTAGATTCTATGAGAGTGGTCAGATAATTTATAGAAAAACCACCCCAAGCATCACTGGTGCCGCAGATGCTCTTATTACTGACATAGTCCTATAGTGAATTGGCCACAACTTCATTGTGGGTGGACATAACAATACACATTTCTAATTTCCAGTAACTATTGTCATCTGGTGCCAGGCATGACATCTCCGACATAAATAATTACTACAAGACACATTCCTAAACCTGGCCAAACAAGTTATAATCTGTACAATCCTATAAAGAGCTACCTACTATTAATTTACAAATATACAACGTGAGCCTGACTGGATAACAATTAAAACATATATTACATAGGCCTTTACATTACATAGTTGTTTGTAATCTAAAGCCGACTATTTACTATACAATATGATAATACAATCTTTTTTTAGATTTACCAACAACTGTGTAGTGCAATGGCCATAGTGATCGTTTACAAACTGAACAGACTTGTTTTCTATCACATACAAATTTCCATCTGGCACCTTTAAGAAGATACAAGCAGTAAGCAACACATGTGGCCGGCTTAAAAAGGTATGTAAACCCTAACAATGAACTTTGGTCCCTTTTCTTTTATTTATTTTTTTCAACTTGTTTATTTAACAAAATACACCAAAATACAAACAGCTGTATGTAAAACATTCAGGGCTTGTTCACACCAAGTGCGGAACAGAGCAGTTACAGAACGCATCAAAAATGCATTCCAAATGGTATTTTGGGCTCTAGTTAACACCACAGTGTTCAGTTCTAGAGCATGTGGAAAAACTGCAGCATGTCCTATTTTTTTTCTGCTCTGGCACGCACCAAAACGCTTGCAAATGCATCAACTTGTATGCAAACGCCCATTTTAGGCTAAAACAAAACAAAAAAAAAAAACATGGCCTGGAACATGTCAAAACGCAGTGCACATGCAAAAACGAATGCAGATCTGGTCCGGATTTGGCGTGAACAAGCCCTAAGAAGAGAAGATGGAGATGACAACTTGTAAAGGTTTGATTCTAATAAGCTATAGATCTATCTAGGTAGATATCTATCTATCTATATATATAGTTTCTAGGAGATAACGAGATCTTTGACATAGACCGGTAAATTAGTTATGTAATGGAGCTGAGAAGACATTGGTGGAGTTAGAAATTTTTCAAGAAAATATAATGGCTTTGGGGAGCTAATGTGATGAGGGTTAAAGAGTAGGGGAGCCCGGGAGAAAAGGAACGGAGAAGGGAGCAAGAGACAAAAAAAGAATAGAAAAGCACAGAAAAAAAAAGAAAAGAAAATTCACCAGTGGATCAACTGGAAAATAAAATAAACGAGAGGGGAATAAAGTGGAAAACAAAGGCGAGAAAATAAAAAAGGGTGACAGAAAAGAGAAAATAGGTAAAAAAAAGGGGGAAAAACAAAAAGGAGGAGGAGGAATACACTCCCCTTAGCATTTTTAAAGAAAAAAAACTTCAGGCAACATTTTTATTAACCCCCGCACTACAAATTTTCATCTGGGGATTCAAATTTAAAAAAGTAATACTCGCCCGATCCTCAGAGCCGGCTGGCTGTCTCAGCGCTCCTTCCCGCCTCTCTCCTCCTACGCTGCAGTGATAGTATGTCACTTGGCATTCTCACATCCTATACACATTGAATTTGACATGATGACTCCAGGGTCTATAGACCACTGCAGTGGAGGGGGAGCAAGGCTGGAAGGACCAGTCTAAGAGCAAGCCAGCTCAGAGGATCAGGCGAGTATAACTATTTTAGTCACTAGATGAAAACAAGCAACTAACCCTTGAAGTGTGGAGGTAGCCAAACTGCACAGGGTTAATAAGAATTTTGCCCAGAGTTCTGCATTAAATATTCAATTGAAAGAGTGTTTGATAGTTGCAAAAAATACCGTTTGACCTTGCCAGAAATCATATTAGTGGAAAACGTCTTGCGCTCTCTGCCTGTGCAGAGTCTTATTAACTACATGGCTATCTCTGAGAACAAGAGAACCACATTCCCTTATGTTATAGACAAGAGCAGAGGGGCAGAATCCTATAGTATTATCCTGTTTCTGCTGTTATGATAAAGTAGGGTGAGTGAGTGTTGTCATCCTAAGTATATACTATTAAAGCAGAATTATGATTACATTTTTTTGACATTTTGAATAAAAAAAACTTCACATTAAAACGTTCTATACTCTATACAATCTACTTTGGATTTACTATTAACTATGTATTATGAGGGCCATTTAGGCAAGACATCACAATTTCGGAAAATTTAAAAAGATTGTGCAAACAGATTATATTGTGGCCCAAGTTTAGAGATGTGCCTCGTGACAGTTATTCATGCCAGAAAGCTGATACAGAAATGATCAGATGTATGCAACATATTCATAGACAATTCATGGGTTACACTTACCTAAAATGGGAGCTGTATACATATATGCATTCTCATAACTAGAGAACCAGTTTGATGGCAAGACAGAGTTTGTTAACAAATGAACAAAGGGTTTTCAATCTATAACATGTAAAATAAGCTTAAAAAAAAACAAAAACAAAAAAAAAAAAACACAAAAAAGGAAACACAATACCGCAATGCAGTTAAAAATGATTTTATAGACGAATATGACTGCGAATCGTCGTCAAGAAGGCTGCACTCCAGTACAGCGCCATGTTTTACTTGCACAGAATTTTTCCCTTGCAAGCCTTTGGATGTTTCCTTAATATTTTAATACAGCGTGAAGAGGGGAACAATGACATTGCGAAACGAGAAATCAAACAGAGTCCAATAACCTAAAGATAACAGGGGAGGGGGGAAAGTCCTTAAAAGAGCCAAGAAGGGCCTAATTAAGAGTTAAGAAGGGGCTAAAGAAGTTAAGCTGGGTATAGGATGTTCGCTTTATTGCTTCTTTTGCTCAACTTGCTTCCATCCGTAGTTTCTTTCTGCTTTGGGTCTCTTCAGGTTCAGACTCTGAGCTGGAATCAGATCCTCCATCAAAGGCTGATATGGCGCTGCCATTGGGATTGGTGTAAAGGCTGCTGTCAGATGAAGAATAGCTAGACTGAAGCCGAGAGTTCGATTTTGCTTTCTCCAGAGCACGAACTGCAGGACAAGATAATAATATTACTCAGCACACATTGAGGTTTTCAAAAGCCACCTGTACGGAGAAATCTGGAGGATCTAAGATAATAAAGATAAAAAGACTTTCTTGCATATCAAGCAGGATAAATTCTCACATTTATTTGGGGGTGGGGATTCTGGTGCAGGAACAAATGTAAATCAGTTTATTGCTGTGACCCATACATGTTAGCATGCTTAGAGATGGTGTTTGAAATACTTTTTTTTTTTCCAGAAGTCTATAGGCCAGTCATGTGATGCTGCAGGGTCCTCTATCTTTCGCTCTTCTCTGGGCTGCGAGGTCCATACTGATACAGAAAGTGGTGCTGATTTGTCGTCAAAGCCACGCTCTGCACTAGTACATTGCGAATGAAGGGTGTCATAGTGACATCATGACACCCCCACGTATTTAGGAAGACGGAGGACATTTTGTGGATAAAAAGGGGTGTTACTGAGGGCAGCTGCATACTGTGGAATAGTATTGCAGCTGAGGCAATTGTAAAAATACACAGGCACATAATCATGACAATGAGAAGGCAACAAATGGGCAATCATTACAAAATATAGGCAAGAAAATGGAAATAAGTGGGCAATGGTTACAATACGTTCAATAGTTACAATATGCCATGTTCGCATTTATACTAATTAGAAATAAAGAGAACAACTGTTCTTCCAACTTATTTATGTGGGCATTTCTCAGTGAGGGAACACCTCTATCGGAAACAAAAACATGGAGAAGTTGCTGGACGGTAAGTCATGACCTTTGTAATAACTTTCTACCCAGGACTCTGCTTTAATTTCGCCTTGTCGACTCAAATGCATTTTGCCAAAATGGTCAAGATTTTTCCCTGCAATGTTTTTACAAAGAAAACTCATTTTTGTTCATCTCTAATAGCCATATAAAAGACCTGCAATTAGATTATATATGCATGATCGCCCATCTCATAATTATAGCCACGTTTAAAATTCTTAGTAAAGTACTATTAAACTAATTAACACTTTGCAAGGTGTCTGCGAAAAGAGATAAGCACTAGAACACCATTAACATTAACTTAAAACAAATTGTTCTTACCTTGTTGTTCTAACAGAGCATTCTGTCTCTTTAGATCATCAATGTCTTGCTGGTGTGTGTGATTTTTTCTTCTCATATACTGTATATACTCTGTTGCTTTGTCCAGTATCTGGGCACGTGAAGCCTTAATGGGAAAAAAAAAATTCCAGCTCATGCTTAATTTATCTTAAGAAAAACAAAATGTACTCGGATATCTAAATGAACTCATAAAAACAACCAAAGATCAAACAAAAACTACTCCTTGCAGTTCCAATAGAAACTATGTAGGAATTGATATTATGGTCAATAAGATATTTCTCTGCAGTGATTATTATTGTACATGCACTCATAAATGGCCAACCACATATGTGGATGGCTAAACAATCATGGCTCAAACATGATTTTTAATAGTTAGGACTCTTTGAATTTGCATTAGTAAAGTAAGAAATTTCTGCTCATCAGTACACTAATCTTATTTTCTTTATCGTCCATTGAAGGCAACAGGAATGCAGGAATTTTTGGACATGTGGGATGTCCAAAAGCAGTCCAACTGAGGGGGTGGGCAAAAGAGAAATCCAACGGATGTAAAAATCTTACTAAAAGAATAGGGAATCAAAGACACCAAGAAGAAACCTATGTTTCAGAGTAGGGAGAAGGTAGCACCACTTGGGATCTATCACTCTTTGAGAATAGCAGTCTCCCCTAACAATGAGGGGCACAACAAAGCAACCACCATAAGGAGAATACAGGTGAGAAAACTGAAACCTAGAGAAAAAGTAGTCAACAAAACAAGAATGTCTGTAAGGTAAAGGCCAGAGCCTACAATACCTAAGCAACCCTTAACCTCAGGGAAAGGAGTGTTGGAGTAACAAGTATGTTCCAACTAAAGATCAACCAGTGAAAATTTGGGTTAACCCCTTCATGACTGAGCTTGTTTTTAGTTTCTGTTCGTAAATGACTGACACACTTTTGACATTTTTGCTGTGTGATTCTTCCACGTCAGTAATATACTTTCTTACAAAGTGCACCCACACATATTATATATTGTTTTTTAGAGGACAGATAGGGCTACATATTTATATCACATATGTGTGTCTAACGCCTCACTTAGGACAAATAAAATATAAAAAAAGAGAAAAAAAAACGTTAAAAAAACACTTTTCTCCCAGTTTTGATTTGTAGTATTTTTTTACAACACCAGCACAGCTAAAAAAATGCAATACATTCATTTATTTGTCCCTTATTTTATTTATTTTTTACACATTTTTTTTTTTTTTTACACTTTTCACTTTTTTTTTAACTTAAAAATGTTATTTTATTTATTTAATTATATCAAGCAGATTTTGTGAATTAATCTCACTGTTACTGCATGATAAATTAATAAATTTTTGGTTATTATCAGGCTGCTTCAAACTTCAGAACAGCCGATAATAAGTTAGTGACACTGATCCTGCAGCAGTTCAGGATTCAGCTGTTACTAAATGTTTTCTGATTGTTGCAACAACGATCAGCAAACAAACATTCTTCTTCCAGGAATAGATACATTGTAGGAATAGACACATTTTGTATCTATTCATGAAAGAAAAAAAAAAAAGCCAGTATAGCTTGAGAGAGATATCTCTCGATCTATACGAGCTGTCAGAATGCCGGCAAAAGCCGGCATCTGTGTCCGCTTTGCTTTGACTCTCAGACACCCGATATTAAGGTATCGGGTGTCTGAAAAAGGTTAACCCTTTCATTAATGAATGCCTCTGTAGTAAGGGCATCTATTAATGAATGTTAAAAGCTGATTCTCAGCGTTTAACAGCCCTCTAAAGAAGCAAATAACTCGTCACGTACAGTGTACGTGACAAGTCATTTGGTCCCTTTGTGGCTGGACGTACAGTGTACGTCTCCCGTCACGAAGGGGTTAAAGTAGAATATCCATAAACTTCGGGGAAAGGGAGACCCATAACATCACTCTCAAAAGTAATCTAAGGGGAGAGAAGGAATTATGTGAAACAAAGAAGGATAGAGTACCAAGTACCCTTTAAGGACAGAGTGGAGAGCTCCACACACCTATATAAAGTGGTAAAGTCAAGGGAGGATATACTGTAACACAACAGATGACCGGAACCAGACCATGACCAGATACCAAATGAAAGTGGTATGAAAGTCACATTACAACCTGTCTACTTATAGAAATAAACAGACTGACCAAAAAAAATGTTGGTTTTTTTTTTCCATAAGGACCTTTGGACTGAGGAGTTTTCCACTTAGGGGAACTCTGCAGTTAGGTAACGGTGTCTGTTGATCTTCCTGGAACATCATGGTGTATGCAATTTTCTCCAGAAAAGAGGGTACTGCAAATTTTTTTAAATTGAAACAGGAGTCAGATTCAAAGACGGGCTCATAGAGATTACCTCGGACTCGTAAGAAGTTCTCTGTTCCATAGAACCAGATCAAAGAGTAGGAAAATGTTTTTTTTGTCCAGATATTGCAACTCAACGTGAGACACAAACTGGTAGTGAGGGAAGTATGATAATGGAGTTCCCATCAAACCTACAATCCCATAAAGGGAGTAAATAGCTAGGAATGCCCAGGTACCGTACTTGATACAAGTACTGATACTTTTTCAGAACGTAGGGAGCCAGCCAGGATGTGATGGAGTGCATTCCAGCAGCTAACCGCGCTGCAACGAACTTTAATTGGTGTACACAAGCCCTGAGTGTTCTAGTGTCCAGATCATTCAAGATTTGGAGATTAGGGACCTTGATCTGCAATGACAGGTCACAGAGAAGGTAACAGGGTCACCCATAACATGAACAACAAAAAGCCTGTCAAAGTAACTAAAGGTGCAACAATGCAATCAGAGAGATAAAGAGTGCCAGTATGTTTTTTTTTAGAAAAATTAAGTCATTAGTAAACTCACCTTTTCCCCTTGGAGTGAAGGTACCGAGTCTCTTAAACTGTGGAAACTGTCCTTTATATGGTCCCTGCGCTTACGTTCCAGCGCATTGTGATGTGCTCTTTTGTCTGCCTACAAATGAAATTTTAAAAAGTTGGAAATAAATGTAAAATTAACATAATAGGTAATTCACTGGAAGAAAATGTCTTATTAATGGTTTATAGAAAACAAGATTGCAGGCAATAGTGCACTAAAAAAACAACTTCAACATACTATGGTACGTCTCTTCTTTTAGGTCTTGTATAGAGTAAATACTGTAATGTAATCTTAAATAACAAAATATCTATAGTCTTCAATTAGTGGGGTATCACAATAAGAATCCAGCAGCATCATGGAATCCCTAAGAAATATATGAGTGTCCAAAGCTTGTTAAATTATTTAACTAGAGATTTTTTATAGGGCTGCGGAAATTAACGATTAATCCCTCGATTAATCGTTAATTTTTTTGATCGATCAAAATTATTTTGATCGATCAAAGTTCTTTGGCTCCGTACTCACCTCTCCGCCGGCTTCCGGGTCTTCCGTCGGAGATCCGGTGACGTCACGGACATCGACGTCACCGGACTCCTCCCCCCTTCCGCAAGTGGCTCTGTCAGCTAATGAAGGGAAGGGGGGAGGAGTCCGGTGATGTCGATGTCAATCAAGCAGATTAAACCTTTCCCTGGGATCGTTTTTTTTTTCTTTTCTGACATCGGGAGCCGCGGCCTGACCGTCAGTCAGAAAAGAAAAAGGCATACGATTGCATAGCTAATGCACCCGCCCACTTCTGCTGTCAATCAGCAGAGGGGGACCTGAATTTTTCTATCAGGTCCTCTTCTTGTGATTGAAAGCAGCAGGGGGCGGGTGCAATAGCTAGTTTGCTAGAGCCTATTGCAAAGTGAAATAGCCAATAGGAATCTAGCTATGCATTCTTATGCCTTTTTTTAGTCTGACAACTGCAAAAAAAAAAAAGTCTGCAGATAGCAAAGAAGCTATTGCTTCCTGTGCTATCTGCCATCATTTCAGGGGGGTGCTCTCTCCCAGCCCCCCTCTAACCTCCCCTCCGCGGATGCGGGGGAGAGGGCACCTCCCTGAAATTGCTTATTTCAGGCTGGGATCCCTGGCATTGGCCTATACACATACAGCACAGCAATGAAGTAATAAAATAAACTAGGATCACACTAATCCAGCACGTTATTAATCTGGGTTGCCCCATTCAAGCGGCGGCCATATTGAGTGGGGCACGTGAGATTAAGAACGTGCTGGATTCGTGTGATCCTAGTTCATTTTATTACTTTATTGCTGTGCTGTATGTGTATAGGCCAATGTAGTTGGATGTGTATGTGCGTTATAATTAATCGAAATTAATCGATTAAAAAAAATTTTGATTAATTGAACAGGAAATTTTTAATCATTACCAGCCCTAATTTTGTTGTTGTTGTTGTAAATAAAGAGCTACACAATTAAAATGTGATTATGCTGCCAATACCAGTAAGCTTAGACTCACAGATTTTCTAAGTAACCCCCGGAACATTTTGTAAATACCTGGTAGACACCGCATTTGATATAGTGACAATGTTATTCCTTCTGCAGTGAAATCACTGCAATAATGTCACCCTTGCAGCTGTAGCATCTTAGATGCTGGCACTTTTGATGGTCCTATTAAGGATTAGTCAAGCCTAGGTTTGACCATGGCTCCTTGATTTGACAACACAATACAGGCCCCTTACCCTCCCCGCAATTCCCTTTCAGCACCAGAAACCCAGCTTCCCAGATGCATTTAACATTAAAAAAAAAAAGGTAAACTTAATGTGCGTGTATGTATGCATGCAAGATAGGAACCCTAGGTTTTAAGCACCTTGAGGGCAGGGACTGATTCGAATGTACAGTTTGTTAAACATACAAGTAGTCACCTGCACACCAGGTCTAATTTGTTAACACGCCTTTATTTAGACGCTAGGGATACATGGTAGCACTGTTGGACAGCAACATTTTGGAACCATTAGCGGCCCCTTCATCAGGCAAACATAGTGACAACTTACAGTACAAAGTGCACATATATATTGTATATAGTGGCAAACCATCTGAGTAAAAAAGAGGACTCTATTTCACTTTTACCTTCACTGATGATGGTTACCTGACAAATAGAAAAGGTGAATCTCCCTAATGGCGGCAAAGACAGCAATAAAAACCTAAATGGTGTTTAACCTCCCTGGAGGTATTCCCGAGTGTGGCTCGGGGTTACTTTTCAGTACCAAAAGTGGTAAACCGAGCCACACTCGGGATAGCACAAAAGTGTCACTTAGCTTGTCCCAGGGAGCCCGCGGTGTCCTCTGCTGTGTGCGCCCGGCCGATGAGGCATTCGGCTTTCAGTTTCGTTTTCGGCAGTCACAGCAGGGGGCGGAGCCGGCGGGAGATTCAAAAGTTAATTTACACAGAATACAATGTAATCTGCTATAATTACATGTATCAAACTATTTCACTTCGATTTTGCCCCAAGAACTTTGTCCAGTGCCCTGCCTGCACTTTTACTGTTCTTTCTGCCTGGAAACTTGAGAACATCCATGGCATCCAAAAAGCGTACCTTTAGGTCAAAAGCGGTTTTAGACCAGGTAGAAAACAGCGATAGTAAATTAGAATTACTTGAAGAATTGAGTGATAGAGATTCGTTGGGAAATTCGTCATCAGTGTGGGAGGAGCTCCAGGTGGGGTCCTAATTTAGCTGGCAAGCACCTCTAAGCCAGCTAAATTAGGACCCCACCTGGAGCTCCTCCCACCAGACCAGCGCTGACTCGCCGCTGCTCTCCGGCACTGAAGGACAACGTCGCTGCTCTCCCGCACAGTGAGTAAGGGGGGCGGCCACTATTAAGCAGTGGCTAATTACACATCTATTGTCTCCATTGTATTAGCAGTGTGTACCCTATATGTAATACATATAGGGTACACACTGCTTATACACTGGAGACTATAGATTTACAATTCATTCATGTTAGCAGTGCAGAATTGTATATCTATTGCTGCAGTGCATTCTATCTGTACACAATAGATTTACAATGATCCCCTGCTAACATGAATGGGTTAAAGGATCCATAGTACAACTACATGTTATGTACTATTATGTACTACGATCATTTAACCTATTCATGTTAGCAGGGGATAATTGTAACTCTATTACTGCAGTGTACGGGACATGTGTGCTGTATATGTACTATGGATCATGATTTAACCTATTCATGTTAGCAGGGCAGAATTGTGAGCGCCTCCCACAAAATGAGCACCGAGACGCGATGCAGTGATCCTGCCCAGCACCGACTACGAGAGGCACCGCGTGAGGCAACAGGGATCGGAGTGAAACTATGAGTGAGGGAAGCTGGGACGGGGCTGGCTGTAAATCTATTGCTACAGTGTACTGGACGTGTGTACTGTATATGTAGTACATATATACAGCACATCCCTCCACTACACTCCAGCAATAGATTTACAATTCTCCCCTGCTAACATGAATAGGTTAAATCATGATCCATAGTACATAACATGTAGTTGTACTACGGAGCATTTAAAGTCACCTGTCCCTTTTTTTTAAAAGTATCAGTAATTGGTATCGGCAAGTACATGAGGGGAAGTACTTGTACTTGGTCCTGAAAAAGGGGCATCGGGACATCACTAATTATTTATATTATAATTTATGATGTCGTGTTTCAGACCTTATCATACCCGGGATGTCTACTGGACTCTTGTTTGGAAAGATTTAGGTGAGTTATTCATAAGATTTACTAAGATTACAGGCCTACAATATAAAACAACAAATTGCCATGAAAAACAATGTACCGCTTTGGCATGCTAAAATCCTGCATAATCATACCGCCAGGGAGGTAAATCCATCTCCACCATATCCAAATCTAGAAAAAAACATTTGGCTTCATTTGCACTTAAAAGCTTCTCATATGATTTTTTTTTAAACTAACAATTTAAACCAGAATGATTTACGGTTATCCCCCTTTTTTATTTTCAACATATTTTTAATAGGGAATCCCTTTTAATATAAAATGTAGTTAATGAACAAAAAGCAAAAAAACTGTGTTCCGTTAAAGGGGGGCTAGGCATTAGCGGCCCGGGCATCAAAGCAGCCGGTGCTTTTATAGTGCAAGAACGCCGGGGCTTTTATAGTGCAAGAACGCCGGGGCTGTATTAAAATAACTCGTGGGCGGTAGTGTAATTGCCACTTGATTACCACTGGCCCTAAATAAACATAAAATGTCCTATAAAAAAAAAGACACAAAAAATAAAAACAAAAATGGCTTCCATGAGTGGGTATGCTACCAGGTGCACATCTTGCTCAATGTATGCGTTTCTTGAACATGCGTTCGAGGGTGAATACTGTTGCACAAGGTGTGAGCTAGTAGTTTGGAAGCCCAGATTCTGGATTTAAACAGCAAACTGGCAGCATTGAGGCGCATAACCAACACGGAAAAGAGTCTGGACTTGACGCACCAGGCTGTGGTGGAGGGCGGCCTAGATGAGGAGGGGGGTTTGGAGGAACAGGATCCCGAGGTGGGTAGTTGGGTTACCATTAGAAGGAGGGGTAGAGTGAAGAGTGCGAGAGAGGTCAGTCCTGAACTAATACACACCAATAAATACTCCAGGTTGCAGGATGTTGGTTCAGGGGTGACATTGCTGGAGCAGGACCCTTCCTCTATCTGCAGGAGGAGTGATTGCACCAGCAAGGATGGGAGCAGGATGGAGGGTCAGGAGAGACAGATTTTGGTGGTGGGAGATTCCATCATCAGGCGGACAGACAGGGTGATCTGTCATCGGGACCGTGAGCATCGAACAGTATGCTGCTTACCGGGGGCTTGACACTGCGGAACGGATGGAGAGGTTACTGGATGGGGTTGGGCACGACCCAGCTGTCATGGTGGTTATGCACATCGGCACCAATGACAAAATAGGAGGCAAATGGAGTGTCCTAAAAAGTGAGTTCAGAGACTTAGGTGCTAGGCTGAAGAAAAAGAGCTCAACGGTAGTATTTTCTGAGATACTGCAGGTGCCAAGAGCCACTCCAGAGAGACAGCGAGAGTTGAGGGAACTTAACA